GCAATGTGCTCTGAGCCAGAGTACGGTCACGTTGTCATCATGGCTCATGAGGCTGGAGACGATGACAAAGAGCGATGCAGAGTACTGACGGACGTAGCAAAGGCTACTTTGAAGGAGCAACTTCTTGCAGTGAGAGAAGAAACTTTGAAAACGCAAACTTCTGCTCTTTACTCAGGACATAACCTCACCGGAGCTTTGCCATTGCCAGTGATTGATATGCTTGTGACAGACAGTGAAGTTATCAGGAGCCATAGTATTTTAGAATCAAAATATCCCATTTTTGGAGACTTGTCCAGAGTTTGGAACATCATATCCATTTCAGGAACGAGGGTAACCAGAGGCGGTAGTCGAATGAGAGCTGATTGCTCAGCTACGCTTTCTGACTCCACTGATTTGTCGGACTCCAATAATTTGTCCGAGTCTGCTACAGCTAATGAGCACAGAGGAGTTTTTTTAGATTCAGATTAAATGTTATCAGAAATGTATGTACTTAAGGCTAGTGGTTTGAAAGTAAAACTGTAAAATGTAACCCAATAGTTGTTTTTTTAAAACCAAAAATTGTGGCCGCACCACAAAGTGGATGGAAGAATGTTTTTTCTAATTGTCTTTATTTACATTTGTTCTCATTTTAGTCTCTTTTGCAGTTTTTTGTTAATTGGCCCCCCCCCCCCAAAAAAAAAAATAAATAAAAAAAAATAAAAAAAATAAGACTAATGTGTAAACTTCACGTCTGTTATTTAATCTACCTTTGTAGGAGTACCTAAAACAGAGTCTATTGATGGGTGAAGGGTGGCCACCAACATGTGAGCAGAATGGAAGATAGGAGAAAGAGTTAGATCAATGTTCCCAAGGCTTCTAAGATGTTCCATAATGTAGGGCAACAAAGAGAGGAAATTGACCCCAATCCAAGCAAGCAAGCAATCTCCAGGATTTAAACAAGGAAATGCAGAGGAGGGCACTATATATTGTCCCTGAAGGACCCCTGAAGCCTTTGGTAAGAATGCAAGGATATAATATGCGTGGTCTCGAGTAAATTGTTTAAAGCTCAATGATACTAAGACCGAGTTTCTTCATCTTTCTTCGCGCCATAGACCAAGCAACCTCATATCAACATTGAACATAAATGGCACTCTAGTTCATGCAACTAAATCATGCAGAAATGTAGGTGTTATTTTTTATGATAAGTTTACACTTGAAAACTTTGTCTCGCAAAAATGTCGCTCAGCATCGTTCGGATTACACAAAATAGGTAAAATTCAAAGTTTTTTAGACAGATCAACCACTGAACGATTACTTCATGCTTTTGTTATGTGCCATTTTGATTTCTGTAATAGTTTGCTTTTCTGGTCTGCCTTCTTCTCAAATTCAAAGACTACAACTCCTTCAAAATTCTGCAGCGCGACTAGTTACACGCACAAAGAAACATGAATCAATAACTCCGGTCTTAAGAGCTCTATATTGGCTACCCATCAAGTCCCGAATCCACTTTAAAATTCTTCTATTAACCTACACCAATGTTTACATCAACTAGCTCCTTTACATGTATATCTTACTGAATTGATAACTCCATATAAACCATTTCTTTGAGTCCTGTGCGAACTCCACCAAGATTGTCCTTTTAGTGTTAAATTTATTTATAAGAATTCTCATTACAAGAGCATGTGACAACCTGTCTCACCAACTTCGGAAGTTGCATGGAACCCCAAATGAAGTACTGGAGCTAAGAAGAAAGGTCTGCACGCTGGAAGAAAAAGTGGATGCCCTCCAGACAGAATTTGCACGATCACACCAAGGATAAATCTACTGCTGACCCTGGCCCTGGCCCTGCCCCCATCCAAACTCTCATCTAATTTTTTTAAATAAAAACTTGATTACTGTGATATATCAAAAGGACCCTATATATAACTCAAACCTTACAATATGATTTTCTGTTTAATTCTTTTCACATGAGTTTAGAAAGTATTCATAATATGTGACAATCAAACCTGACAATAAATATGAGGTTCCGTATGATACATTGACCATGTGGGGAAGGCAATCACGTAGTCCATAATGAAACACGGAATTTAAGGAAAAAGATATGTACATGTACATGTAGGCCTATAATGTGATCTAGCTGGTCAACTTCATCGTCACACACCGATCTTCATATCCACCATGTATTTTGTTGTATCGTCCGTCTCACTTGGAACCAAGAACACGTTAAGGCTGTCCACAAACCTCACTATTTTGTTGGGATCAATTTTAGATCCAGACGCAATACCTGGCATGAATCGAGACTGGAGCACCCTGTCTAGTCTGTAGTTGCAGACGTCTATCAGCCTCCTCTCATAATAAGTCTCCAGCTGTAAGACTTCCAATTTTGTCACCACTGTAAACCCCAGAATGTTTGTGTGCACAAAGAAAGTTAAGATTGGCATCTCTCTAAGCAATCTGAAGAGTAGATGGAGGTTATTTGCCCAACAGTTCTGATAAACACTGCTTATGGAGCGATAACTATGTTTATCACTCGATAAACACTGATCATCGATAAACACTGATTAGTAAGAAGAGTGGGCGGAGCCAGAGGAAGATGAAGGGAGGCTACACTGGTCGCCACATGAGATGACGGAGGAGGAGATGGAAGAGGAGCAGAGGAACGAGGATAGGGTAGAGTAAGAGGAGGCGGTGAAGGAAGAGGTGCATTTGTAAAATGTTTTACCCATGTGATTGTGAGCAAAATGTTCTGTTGAGAATAATTATTCATATTAATATTCTTTTTTCAAATTCTTCCCTTTACCACAATTATTCTTTTTGTAATTATCATATTATTCATGAGAGACAATAGTTTAATTGGACTGGACTTTTTTTTCTTTCTCCAGACAACATGATACTCATTCTAGCAGAAGAGGAGGCCGAACTAGCTGCTTTGGAGGCCATCCAGGATGTCGTGGAGGAGGTAGGACTGGTGGTGGAGGAGGGATTCGAAGAGATCAAGCAGTGGGCAGAGGACGAGGTAGAGGAGGCAGCGTCACGTACGTGCGCGCGCCATAGACGTGCGTCAGCTTAGTGCAGCGCTCCATTGTTTACATTGTCTCTGCTTTTAGCGTGCGAGGCGCACTTCATTTGGCGCGGCATTTAAATTTTTGAGGTTGCTAGGGATGACGTGAGGAGGTTCCAGCTTTAGAGAAGCATGGATAAAAGAGAAATGATTGGCTAAGAGGTCAGAACAAACGATGAATATGCATGAGTAGGAGGTTCCCCAGGGGCCCCGGGAAATTCAAGGCCAGGCGAATGATAAAAATTAAGTAATCCCTTCGTACGTCGGACCTTCAGTTCACGTACGAGGGGAGAGTTACAAGAGTCATTTAAATACATAAATTATCATTTCATTCATTCATTTCATTTCAAACCTCAGCTATATTCTTATTTGAGTTTTTCTGTACTATCTATTGGTGTATTAAGTTTTTTTAATACTGAGTTAATGAGTTTATAAACTTAGATTATAGCTTTCATTTTTTTTTCCATCAGAATTTGCCGTCAAAGTAGGGTCACTTTTTTGTTTACGTACGTGTGCGTGTGGGGAAGATGAGTGGGTTGGACGCCCATAAGCTTGCTCTCAGCAAATTGTGTAGGTTTTGTGGGGGTAGGCCAGGGGCGTACGCAGGATTTTTTCAAGGGGGGGGGGGGGGGGGTTTTAAAATATTTTGCTCCCGAAAATTTGAAAATCGCGCCGGCCGAAAAGTCGCTCAGTGGGGGATGGGGGGGGGGGGGGGGGGGGGGGGGGGGTAAGCGGACATTTTTTTTTTTTTTGGTCTCGAATTTTCAAAATTTGACATTTTTCTTTGTTGGGGGGGGGGGGGGTAAGGTCACCTTATTTAGGTTAGGGGGGTTTTAGGTTTTTTAAGGGGGGGGTTTACATACATAAAAATACCAAAGGGGGGGGGGGGGGTTTTGAACCCCCAAACCCCCCCCCCCCCCTGCGTACGCCCCTGGGGTAGGCTAATCAGCGGACACTTTTTTTTTTTTTTGGTCTCGAATTTTCAAAATTTGACATTTTTCTTTGGGGGGGGGGGGGGGGGGTAAGGTCACCTTATTTAGGTTAGGGGGGTTTTAGGTTTTTTTAGGGGGGTTAACATACATAAAAATACCAAAGGGGGGGGGGGGTTTGAACCCCCAAACCCCCCCCCCCCTGCGTACGCCCCTGGGGTAGGCTAATCAGCTCTGGATATTCTTATTTTGTTTGTAATTACCAACATTTGTGGGACAATTCTGATTTTAATTTTTGTAATGATGATCATGTAATTCACCCAAATCTTTCTGTCATAAATGCTATTGCAAGCCAAGTAATTCCAATAGGCGCAACAAAATCAATGACTGGAAACCGAAAAAATGATTGGACGAAACACAAACGAACGGAGGAGGCCTGCACTACATGTAACCTAATGATACCAGCTAAGGGTGGGAGGCCCCCCAAAACCAAGTCAACTGGCAGACCCCCAAATCCAGCCATTTCAATGTCAGCCCATTTTTCAGCACTTTTTAACAATTGTCTTGCGTATTCTATGTCCAAATTTATCTCGTCAGATCATTTCATGTTGTGTAAACTGTGTAATAATGTGTTGGTTAATCCATGTGTGGGTTCATGTGAGCATGTATTTTGTTTGAGTTGTGTACATAAGTCCTTTGTCAGTGCAAGTCGTGTCAGTGTTCCATGTTGTACCTGTCAAACACCAATTCACTACACTAATACCACAGTTTCACCTCGACACAATACACTCCACAAACATCATATGCACAGTCTGCAATACAAACCTACCATACATCAACGCTAAAATACACACTTGTATACATGACACACATGATCACACATACGCAAAACACACACATGTCACACCAACAAATCTCTCCCGCATCGAAAAAGACTTGTTGGGTACGGCCATTTTTAAAGAGAAGTTAAAAGAATCTAACGATGGCACAGCAACTTTTCACACAAAGGGCAAGGTAAAAATAAAATAATATATGTATTCATAAAATTAATATGATTCTAATTTTATTATAATGCATGATTCATACAAGATCTGCGTATTCACTAAATTAATATAAGCCTTCAGTGGAAAATCCCAAAATGAGGTCCTTGGAACTGGACAAAGTTTGCTTGTTTTACATGTACCAGGTATCTTGTTATATCAGTAGTCAATACAAAACAAAGCAAATTGATTTCATTTTGACCAGAGAAATTAGCTTTTATATCAGGTATTCCTTACATCAGATCTCTTTATATATAATTATCTACATTACATGTTCGAGGATAAAATTTTTCTGAGCAATTATATTTTTTATAATAAAATGTGTTTCATAACTAACTTAAAATGGATTTTCACTTTATATTTTATTCATACGATCATGATAGGTTCTCAAGAGAAGTATATACAGTCTACTTCAATTATAACGAGCGCTGATACAACAAGATCTCATTAAAACGAGGCAGTTTTCCCAATTCCGAATTCAAACCTGCGCACATGTGTCTATGTGTTCAGAAAAAACAAAATTTTGTTTATAAATTGGCTTGGTCCTGAAATCCTCCTAATAATTAAAGTGGACTGTACTTTTAAAAATGTGTACAATACAATATGTGTATGTTAAAATTTATTAAGTTGCAACACACATCCAAAATATCTCAATCAAGTAATAAATAGATTAAAAATCAAGCCTCCCTTTTGTTATGCATATGCCCTCTCCCCCCCCCCCCTCCTTTGGCAGCCCAGAAAAAGAAAAATAAGAAATATATAGCAGTGGGTGTTCTTTCCTTATATGCAGGAATGTATTTAAAATATTCTGTAGCAACCACCACCCCCCCCCCCCACGCCTAATTTGGCCACACTGTTACTAAAATATGATATAATTTGACGGACAAGTATTCAACATCCCCCTTTTTCAGCCAAAATAAACTAATGGCATATCTGATCTGTCTTTTTTTAACAAGCCACTAGTAACAGTGCTTATGCACAAAGCCCAAGTTTCTTCAGATGAATGTGCTCCATCAACATTAAGACATCGCTCAGAGACGTTGCTGCAGGCTCGTGACTTAACGAGTGGAGGAGCAACATCGGCCCAACTAACCCATGAGGTAAAGTTCCGGAAACTAGCATCAGATCTGGACTCACTAATGACTGGCACATCCATTCGGATTCCAGATGGTGAAATGCTGGACTTGAAGGTTGGACTTGGTATCAGCTGGACAAGATTCACTGTCCGGTGTACAGTCTTGCCGTCATTGCCCGTTTCCGGTGCATCGTATCTCTCACCCAGCTTTATCAGCTCCTCATCAGCATCGTCGTCATGGAAACTGTCAAAGTCAGAGCAAAAGCTGTTCTGATTCATCTCGTTGGACCTTGCATCTTCTTCCACTCGTAGAGAAACGTTGATCAGTTCATCCTCGTCCCAGTCGGTGAAGGAAGGGAGGTGCTCCGGAGGAACGGGGTGATCGTCGGATTTGTAGCCTTGCGGGGTCGTGGCACTTCTGGTAGTAGACCCCTCTCCTCAAGTCCACCAAGATCCTTGAAATAAGAATGACAGGGTAAAAGTGACTAACTGCTAAAAACTTTTTCTGAAAATAGCTTACCTGGAGTACAGGATATGTTTCTTGTTGAAGAATACATTTATCACCACTCCATGTAGAAGTTGTACGGTAATATCGATGAAATGTTGAAAAATAATTATTTGGCACAATGGCTGTTTCCTGCCAATAGCCAGGCCCAAAATGATGGGTTTCGTAGGGGACCATTCTCCTTACACTTTTCTTCATATTTTGAAAGCGCATCTTGAATTATTATAAAAAGGGATTTTTAAATTTTATACTATGACATTTCATCCTATTTAACATTTCTCCTCCCCATTTTAACTGACGTTATACATCCCAGCCAAATATTTTATCTTCTCCCTCCCCATCCTCTGCAAATCATTTAATATGTTTTGTCTCCCTCCCCCCTCCTCCCCTCCTCAATATTCTTCATTATCACCTTCTAAACTTCTCAATATATTTAATGTTTCATCTTTTTGTTATAGCTTCTGCTCTACAATTGTCTATTTTGAGAAAATTAACCCTGATGATTATTCCCAGTGACTTATGGTAGTTTTGAACTAATAGCTCATGAGCATTGATTTTAAAGTCTGATACAAAGAGGGGGAAGAGGAGGGGGTTTATGTCTGAATCAAACAAAGGCAACAGGTGGCAAAAGGCCCGCTTACATGATGTTGTTGCTCATGTGCTGTCTGCCAATATTCTCACACCACCTGTTCTTGACGACGTCATACACCAGGAGCTGAGCCTCCGAGAAATAAGTCCATCTCCTGATCTCCCCTGCCACACCCCCTTTTGAGATGCAGTACACCCTGATGTAGGAGTCGATCTCCGGGAAGGGGGATGATTGGTACCCCTCTGTTGTCTCGGCACGCTCTGAGGACAATAAATTAATAATAACAATCATGGATTTTGAATACAGGTATTTCCTACTTCAAATCTCCCTAGGCCTCGCACCTTTTTTGAGATGCATTACTCCCTGATGTAGGAGTCTATCTCCAGAAGGGGGATGACTAGTACCCCTCGGTTGTCTCTGCACGCTCTGAGGATAATGAGTTAACGATAACAATCATGGATTTTGAGTACTGATATTTCCTACTTCAAACCATCCCTGCCCAACCAGGGGTATGGGAGCAAGTTAAGGCTCTCTCGAACAATATCATTAAAAAAACATTTCGAGAGAGCCCTTAAGGCTAATTCTAATAGGTCTAGTCATACTATTATTAGGCAGTTCATTCCTTTTTATCAATCTAAAATTTCATTATGATTAGATCAATTAATATAGACCTAATCATCATTCACCAAAAAAAAGAAAAAAAGAAAAAGAAGTAAAAAAAAGCACCATTAAATTTGAAGTTCATTTGTTTAAATGTTGATGTAGATCCTACTACATAAGATCTAGCACTGTAGTACAGACAATGGTTTTGACAACAATTGAATTTAAACATGGTGATATCAATTCTTTTATATTTTTATCAATACAGTTCTAAAGCATCAAACTATTCACAGATACATTAAGACTAATATTAACAACATAACCGTGACATTTTGCTTTTAAAAAATAATCACATGAATGAATTAAAGAGATTTCAACGCGCGAAATTCGTACACTACCTGTACGGACGACTAAAAGTTGTGCGTGGGACTACACGCATGTTATTGATGCAGTGGAGGCCAAACGGTGCACAAGCCAATTTCGCCCCTACGTACACGGCGGCACATTGAGCACCGCGCCGCTCAAACATGGATTATGCGGCTCTAGACTGTCGCATCACATGTTGATTAAAGAAGTTTTTATTGAAAGTACAATATTTTTATCTGATTTTCTTCAGCTACGAGTCCCGTTTTATCAGATACGCAAAATGTCATATTGGTTGACTGACAATACAGTCAGCCACACTTCATCAAACTACACCTGACAGAAAAGGCAGAAAAAAAGTAAAAACTTACCTCAAATTCCGCATTTTAGGGGTTGAGTCACGATGACAGAAAAAATGAAAGTAGAAATGTAAACAAATATTTCGATTTAGCAAATCCTCGTTCACTTAAAGGAATTCACAGCTAAGCTTAAAAAACTAATTTTTATTTATTTTGACAATCAAACTAAAAACCTTATATTTTAACCGTAATTTTGTAATAATTATGCATTTCTAAGGGTATAGAAAATTACCTAAAGGAAAAATTAAATTATATTTATGTAAGTAGGTTTTACATTTTTATAAATCTTTGAGGTATGTTTAGTATACTATGCATATTCATATTTTGTTTTGAGTCACTGATTTTGATTGGCTGACGTCCAAAGTAAGGGGTTTTGGGAAAAAAAATTCATACGTGAATAATTAAAACGGGGTAATTAAATGACGCACACACAAACAAAAATGGCGCCCGCGCTAATTAAGCGCGTCGCACGTACGTGGCGTGGGAAGAGGACGAGGAGGAGGAGTGGGTCCTTCATTGGACTGCGGAGGATGACACGGAGGAGGAGATGGAAGAGGAGGAGCCGAGGAGAGAGTATGGGATAGAGGAAGGGGTGGCGAGGGAGGAGGACGAGGAGGAGTGGCACCTGCATTGGAGTGCTGAGGAGGACACTGAGGAGGAGAGGGAAGAGGAGGAGCCGAGGAGAGAGTATGGGATAGAGGAAGGGGTGGCGAGGGAGGAGGAAGAGGAGTGGCACCTGCATTGGAGTGCTGAGGAGGACACTGAGGAGGAGAGGGAAGAGGAGGAGCCGAGGAGAGAGTATGGGATAGAGGAAGGGGTGGCGAGGGAGGAGGAGGAGGAGGAGTGGCACCTGCATTGGAGTGCTGAGGAGGACACTGAGGAGGAGGAGATGGAAGAGGAGGAGCCGAGGAGAGAGTATGGGATAGAGGAAGAGGCGGTGGAGGAAGAGGTGAAGTTGTAAAATGTTTTACCCATGTTAGCAATATGTTTTGTTGAAAATTATAATTCAAATTATTCCCTTTACCACAATTATTCTTTTTGTAATTATCATTATTACCTTATTATTTATGAGAGACAATACACACAATAATGACAAAGTTTTATCTCACTCATTTGAGCTTTAAAGGTTAACCACATGTGTGTGTGTATGTGTGTATTTGTAGGGCTTGTATGGTTTTTATGTTTGTTTCTGTTGTTATACAAGTTTTATTTGGGGGGCAAAATAAGTTTTTGTAATTTCAAATCTTTATTACAGTATGTTTATCACATTTTTGAAAATTATTTTGGGGGAGATATCTCAACAAACTCATTTATTTGGGTTTTTATAACTTCCCTTTTTCCATTATTGTTTAATATTTTAATGTACTTATGTATATTCTAGTGAAAAATTGTGCATGTTATTTTTGCAAATGTATGTATTTTTGTAATGTGATTTTTATGAAAATGAATAAACTTAATTGAATTGAATTAATTGAATTGAATTGACTGATCTTGACGCCGTGGTATAGTGGTTCATAGATTATTGATTTTATTTTGTTACTGCATTGACTTCATTTACTTCTATTTGTTATCCAATTTGATATTCCAGATCATTCTATGGGTACAAATATAATGCGAATGCTGGTGGAGATCAAACAGCTGGTAACACAGAGCATACTCCTCAACCAGCAGAGGGGTATTCCTGGTGCTACCGCCGAGGTGGAGGAGGAGGAGTTCTCTCTTCCTCTGACCTCTCAGCAGGAGCTCCTAAATCTGGAGGAAAGATTGAAGGATCAGGGTCATAGAAGGAAATTGGTAAGCTGAATTTTATTTACTCAATACTTTTATCTTGGTTCAGTCTCCTGACGTCATGCATATTCATTGTACAGCGCGCGCGATGCAAACTCTATCATAACACATACGGTAACAGCTATCAGAGTTCTTCAATCGGCTGGCGGGCAGGCCGGCCGGCCATGCAGCGCCGCGCCTCTTGCATGCTTAGCTTACACGCTCGAATCACTAGCAGTCCAACTTGCCAAAGTGGAGCCGAAGCCGGAGGTTTACCATCTATGGGAGCCTGTTTGGACTGCAGTTTCTAGTTCTAAAGATGGCCATAAAGGATATGTGACGTCAGTAGAAGAGACCAACAGAGTCCAAGACTTGTTTGAGATTGAGACTGCCATAAAATACAATGTCGAATCCAAAAAAAAGGCTTCATTTGGTCTGACTATAGTCAACTTTGTTCAAAGTCCAACCCCAACAGCTCTCTCAAGCCCAACGACATAGTCATTCTTTATTTTATCTCTGTTATTCACTACAGAATTCACACACAGTTGTTGAATATGCTATTCAGCACCACTACTGAGATACTCCCAAGTACTCTGCAGGATATTAAAAGGAAGCTAACTAAAGCTCACGTCTCCTTTCGTGGTTATTGTAGCAACATGGTTTTTGACACGGTCTTATAACAGTAAATTTAGTTCTATTTACTCAACACTTTTACCTTGGTTCAGTCTACTGACGTCGTGGATTGGAAGCAAGGAATACTTCAAGTTTGCTCATCAGAAGATGGTCTCACTATTGATTGGACAAAATTGATAGCAGTACGGGTCATGAAAGGGGAAGAAGTTGTGTTCTTCAAAGGTATTTTTGTAATGTGATTTTTATGAAAATGAATAAACTTCATTGAATTGAATTAATTGAACTGAATTGACTGATCTTAATGCCGTGGTATAGTGGTTCATAGATTATTGATTTTATTTTGTTACTGCATTGACTTCATTTACTTCTATTTGTTATCCAATTTGATATTCCAGATCATTCTATGGGTACAAATATAATGCGAATGCTGGTGGAGATCAAACAGCTGGTAACACAGAGCATACTCCTCAACCAGCAGAGGGGTATTCCTGGTGCTACCGCCGAGGTGGAGGAGGAGGAGTTCTCTCTTCCTCTGACCTCTCAGCAGGAGCTCCTCAATCTGGAGGAAAGGATGAGGCAATCGCTGACGAGAACAATCGCTCTTCATCTATTCTTCTACTGGAAGGGATAGAGTGCGAGAGGGCCACAAGGGGACTTTCGGTGAACATCAGAAAGACATGGAGGAGGCACAATCTTCGGTTTTATAATTCCATGATTGACGAGAAACTTGACAGGGCAGATGGTGGCCTCCAGGGTAGTAGTTCTAAATTCTTATGTACTTTGTGCCATGCTACCCGAGAGACAGCGAAGTCAGAAATGGGCAGTTTCAGGATTACCAGGACATTCGAGGAGACGGATGCCAAAGCTAACTACATGCTGATTAACCCTGATGACCGTCTCCAGAAGGAGGTGGAGATCATTAGATCAGAGGGAAAGGATTCTAAAAGTGTTTGTTGATGTTTCTTTTTCCATCAGATCATCAATGCTTATTTGCATCTATTGATGACTAAAAACAACCAAAGTGACTTTGGTCACATCTTCATGTTACCATCATATGGAGCTGTCCAGTGGAGCTGTCAGGGTATGCAACCATGGATGTTTAAGAAGGTAAGTTGTCGTTGTTGAAAACCCAGATGACCTGACTTGGCACAATGTCACAAGGTGTGAAATCTCGTCCAGTTCTGCAATCTGATCCGCGAGAGAAGCTGATAGATGCTACCCATGCGGACATAAACATCGGCTCGTTTTTTAAGAAGCTGATCATATGTGAAACCGCCAGAATCCAGACATGGGAAATTCGTCAAGATGTGAAGGGGTGTTACGAGATCCCGAGAAGATGTTTGATTATCATTTGTTGTCCACGCTTGGACTAGGTCCCTCCTTGATGATGCCTGGTTTTTTCGCGCGCGGACATCGTTCGCCCTGAAAAACAATGACATTGTCTTACAGCTAATCGAAGATGAGCAAAGGTGAGCAAAGGCGAGAAAAGCTGAAAGAAGTGTTGGTTCTGTTCTCTCGCCTCCGGTCTGTTTACAGAGCGCATCACCGCAAGGTAGACGAGGTCAAGGTCTACGAGGCAAACGCAATCATCATGAGGAACCTGTTGAAGACTCACTTTGCATATGTCTCCTGGCCCAATTATCTTCACAAAGTCATAGAACATGTTCAGGAGATCCTTGAGGATCCAAGCGGACCACAGACATTTGGAGGGTTGAGTGGAGAAGGGAATGAAGCCTCCAACAAGCTCTTCCGCGATCTCCGTCGGCATTATGCTAGGAAGCATGATGTGACGCAGAATCTCCGTGACATCCTGTGGGTACACTGGCTCTTCACCAGTCCTAAAATTAGAAGATTAAGCAGCCATTCCACTCGAAAATACCAGTGCTCAAAATGTAAAGGACTTGGGCACAATGCAAGGAGTTACCCTTCTAAGGATGCTTGAAATGTTCATTGACCAATTTTTGTCTGTTTACAGAGCGCATAACCCCAAGTTAGACGAGGTCAAAGTCTACAGGGCAAACGTAATCAACATGGGGAAGCTGTTGAAGACTCATTTTGCATGTCTCCTGGCCAAATTATCTTCACAAAGTGATAGAACATGATTAAAACAAAGTTTCTTCACTAGAATAGACCAATTTTGTTTCAGTAATGGGCGAAGAAATATTGGGACTACATCTGAGATTTTCATGGTCACAGGTTGAATTTTATTATCTATTTGGAGTCTCACTAAATGTTTATATTAATTTTTGTGAACAAGCATTTTAGAGGCTAAATTTTCTAGTGCTTATTTTGCAATACTTTACAATAACTTTATAAATAAAATATTTTCCTCATATTTTTTATGACACGATATGAAGAATTTCTTCAATGTCTTCTTTAATTATTTACCATTTTTATAGAGAGCCCATTCGTCATCTCAATACAATAAACCCAAAACCTGTCCAAGAATGCCCCGTCTGTGGAACATACATAGGCAGGGTAGACTGCCATCTTGTTAGCAGACATGACTACAAGAGAGGAACGGAAGAAATGGCTAACATTCAATCAAAGAAAGGTTCCTAACATGGTTATTTCAGATGGCCGGCTACAGAGAAAGAAGAGAG